GGATCGGGGCCGGGGCGGGGGGGGGAAGGAGGGGTTGCAGGATGCGGGTGTCCCCTGCAAGGTTTGGTCCCACCGAGCATCCCAGGGGGTGACATCTCCCCAGGGGGAGAGGGTGGGATGGTGACCGTCTCCCTGCTCCCCCAGCCTGCAGCGGCCGGTCCACCACGTGGTGCCTCCCAGCGCCGTCACCGAGGATTACCTGCGCAGCTTCCGTCCCTACCACACCGCTGAGGACCTCCGCATGTCCTCCCTGCCGCCCCTCGGCCTGGATCCGGCCGCCCCCGCCGCTTACTACCACCCCAGCTACCTGACGCATCACCCCTTCCCGCACCCCGCCTTCAGGTGGGCATCGCCGAGCTCAGGCCTGGGGGTCCCCGGGGGATGCCGGTGGCCGGAGGATGAGCCTTGGGCGCTGGGGAGGTGGGAGCCTGATCCGGGGAGGACGGTTGGGCTGCACTGAGGGCATTTTGGGGCTCTCCAAACCCCTCTCCCAGCAGTGGGCAGCCCCTATACAGCCTGGGATCGTGCCCGGGGGGTGGAATTGGGGGTTTCTTTGCCCCCCCGGCCCTGAGCGGCACATCCTGCTGAGCATCCCCCCATCTCCCCAGGATGGACGGGTCGTACTGTCTGTCGGCGCTGCGGTCCCCCTTCTACCCGCTGCCGGCGCCAGGCTCGCTGCCGCCCCTGCACCCCTCAGCGGCGCCAGGCGCCGCCCCTGCACCCCTCAGCTCAGCCCGAGCTCTCGCACTCCTCCCTCTCCGCCCTGCAGTCCGAGCGCATCTCCAGCCTCGCCGCCGAGAGGTATGGGGGGGACGATGGCCGGGGGCGGGGGATGGACAGAGCACCCCAGGGGATGCTAACAGGCGTCTGGGGGTTGTTTGGGGGGTTGGGTTTTTTTTGGCTTTTCTTTGCAGGCTGCAAATGGACGAGGAGCTGCGGCAGAGGGAGCGGGAGCGCGAGCGGGAGCGGGAGAAGGAGCGGGAGCGAGAAGCCGACCGGGAGCGGGAGAAGGAGCGTGAACGGGAGCGGGAACGCGAGAAGGAGCTGGAGCGAGAGCGGGAGAAGGAGCGGGAACGGGAGCTGGAGAGGCAGCGGGAGCGCGCCCGGGAGAAGGAGCTGAGCATGGTGAAAGCCATGGAGGGGCCCTTCCTCCCTGTGGCCGAGCTGCACGGGCTGCGGGGGCACCCGGCCGAGGAGCGGGGCAAGCCGGTGGAGCCGCTGGTGCCCGGCAGACCAGGTAACGTCCCCGCGGGTGACACTGGGGGGGCTGCCACCTTTGGTGCAGCTTGCCACGGTCTCCTTTCCCCTCCAGATGGCAAAGCTGAGGGGGTCGGTGGTCCCGGGAGGTGGCTCGGGACGGAGCCGGGCTCTCCCGGCTGCCAGCTCGCTTTGCCAACAGCCCCACTGCCGCGGCTCTCGGAGAGGCGGCTGGCGGCCCGGGCCCCCGAGGTCATGCGCGGGCGG